GACTACGCATAATAAAATATTATTTATTTCATTTAATATATATATAATTTATAGATACATATATCACAGTTTCTTCCCCTTGTAATATATGCATATTATAATATGACATTATTTGGAAATAAAAGTAGCGCAAACAATAAAAACATATATTTATATAAATTGGATAATTAATTTTATATTTCTCTTGTCACACAGTGATCATAGTTCTGCGATATTTAAATTGTCAAAATCACAGACTTATTGATAAAAATACAACTTGCCTAGGTTTTAAAAAACGACAAATACCATAAATATTTTAAGATAAAATACAATTAATATTATTATATACCTTGTGTGCACAGCGCTCCTCCAAAGGCAATTTCATACACTCTGTATTTTGATCCATGATTGATTAACTTGCCTAAAAAAATAATTCATTTGGAACATCCTCTTTATCATGTAGGAAATAAGATTAAACTGATATAAAAAGTACAAGTATATATAGTAATTGTTACATTGACAAAGTAAATCTAAATAAATGTAATACAATGCACGACTTTGTAATAAATATACAGGTCATTCGATATTTACTTTCTGATCAGAGAATGTGTGCTCGATAAAGTAACATATAATTAAATTGGGCTTTCCAAAAAAAATCTTGTAAATAACGGATTCCCTCCATCTTAACAGTGATTTCTTATAAATAATTTTCAAAACATACCTAAAGATTGAAACGCGAAGATAACAATGTTAAAAGTGTTACAATCGCTTCCTCTCCGTGATTACTTTTAACGCAATACGTTTGTAGATGTAATTTGTACAATGGAAAAATAATAGTAGGAGGATTTGTCAGTCAGAAAGTATCGTTATATACGATCCAAAAGATTCGAAAAGAAGTCCGGCACGGCGGTGATCAACATCGCGAAAAAACTGTCTCTCGACGTCGGACTTACCTAGCAAGATGACAATAAATCGAAATCGACACAGTTGGCGTGTTATTAATCACGACTGAGTCGCAGCGTTGAAACGCGCGCCAAAACAAGAGGCACGTGAAACGTGAATCTGTCGTTGGCTCACGCGACTCGCTCTCTCACGACCTTTCAACGGTCATTAAATTCGTTACGTCGAGTTTTCAAACGTGACCGTGTTCCAAAATTCACTACCAGTATTGAAATTCCATAGTTCACATAACATATATTATAAAATTCCAGTACTGGCAGTGAATTTTGAAACACGGCCCGTATAAAGGAACGCAAACAAAAAGGTGACTATGTATTTATATGTATCTAGAGCGGCGAAACGGCTGCTCGGAAAAACCGTTCGATCCGCGATTAGTCTGACGTCATGACAGTAGATGACGCGGGATGCGAACAATACCTGTATCTGTTTTATATAATTTTACATAATTTTTTACATAATTTATATAATGGAAGATTTTTATAATATTCATCTCATAATCTTTTATCTCAGTATTATTATTCTCATAATCTCTTATCTATCTAGATAAGAGATGCACTTTATGTATTTAATATTCTTTCGCTCTTTCACACCCTTTTTGAAGTTTAACATATATACATATATTTTAAATGCTAAAAGTACAGCTGAATCGCTTACAAGAGTAAGGAATAATTAAACTTTGCTTGTAAAACATATATTTAGCCAAGGAAGAAGAATGAATTTTATTGGTTTCGCCATATTATTGGTACGTATATGTCAGTGTCAACAATATGGCGTACGTTGTACACTTTTGTCCTTCTATTAACTCTATAATATATGGTCGACACTCAACAATTTGGGATTACTGGATTGGATCGACTGTCTTACACAATGGTTCTCCTTTTCCAATATATTATAGAGTTCACCGTTTTGTTCTTATGCTCGCATTGCAATATTGCGTAAAAACCAATATAAAAACTTTTGATTTATATTATAATACATTCTTTTTTTACGTCAAAATTGTCGTATTAGAATAAGATTACATTTATATAACAAAATGTTTATCGAGCATTATATTTTATACATATAATTTTGCTTATATTTATTAAAAAGCTTTTCTTTCAAAATATTCTGCCATAAAATTATAAATACGTCATCACAAGAGCTTTAGTTTATATTATATAGTTATATAACATTATATGAATCATAGTTATAATATATTATACATTGTTAATATTATATATAATTTACAAAACCAAGAAAAATTGCATATAAAACTACAAACTTCATTTCTTAAATTGTCTATTAATTAGAAATCGATTTCTTCATAGCAACAATTTGACCAGTACTATTTTTTTTATTCTATTTACTATATGCTCTTCCTACTTTTCAATATTACATATTTAATCAAATAACATAATATTTAGATTCTGCTTACAATTAAGAAAGTAAGGATTCTATTATTATTCTGAATCGCTTATATATATATATATATATATATATATTGTCTGTCAAGAAGTTAAAGAAATTAAAATATAAAATTTAAAAAAATTTAAATTATCCAATTAAAAAATATGTATATTTTATATATACAAATAAAAAAAATAGTTATAACAATGGATATTAATTCTAACTTTTCATGACAATGCATATGTTAGTCTTAATTTCTATATTTAATTGAATGGACACGATAATGATAAATAGCTGTATTTGTAAATATTAATATCCTACTATTTTAAATTCATTTTAAACTATAAAATCCGAAAATGGGTCATTTTGGTGCCAGAAAGAAGAGTCTCTCCATCATGAGATGTATTTTTTGAAAAGTTTATTTATCCCTAAGAGATATACAAAACAAACATTTCTTCTCAGTGTGTAACTATCATAATTCCCCTAGTAGTATAACACAGGAAATTCATGTCATGATTCTTTCGAATATATTCCGTTTCTTTTTTTCTTCTTTTTCCTTCTTTTTTTTTTATTCAATTATCTGTCCATCAAACAGATATCGTGTCTCACACAATATCAGTATCAGTTACAATTCGCTCTTTTTTTCCATAACCAGCTATATGTTAAAATTATGCATATCTGCAAATCAGTATTAAAATATTACAATTTGATATTTTACAATCGTTTGTTATTCGCGTCTTCTAACTCCCTCTAGAAAACAGGTTCCTTTTCATTCGTTCTGCTCATCCTGATAAATTGTTAGAATAATTTTTTTTTACGTCGATAATGTGAGACAATGTTCTCTGAGGAAAGGAAGAGTACGGGAGACGGGGGAGAGAGATTTAACGATTTGAAAGAAGTGACGGTAATTTCAGATTGCTGCGAGCCAAATGTCGAGGTGCAAGTCTGATTATAATAAAGCTTCTAATATTTATATAAATATACTAGAGAACTATCAAGGCTTTGCGGCCCTCATATATTAACTCATACATGCATGTATGGCATACGAGCACTACGGCTTCCTTTAACTCTCTCGGTCGTTAAGCAGCAGCCGCAGCTGCTGTCGCCGCCGTTGTCGTTGGATGGTATTCATATACCGACGAGTACCACCGCATAAAAGCTCGTCCGATCGTAAGTCGTGGGCGTAAAAGTGTCTACCGACCCTCTTCCGCAGCTGTGTGCACTTCGCACATTGCGCGTGTGCGCGTTAGAAATTGCTCGTGTACACTGTGTGTATCTGGTCGTTTCCTTGCACAGAAATCTACGGTTGCCTCTTCAGAATGCTGCGAATTGCGCGATTTTATTCAAAATATATATCAAAAAGGGTTATTTTTAGGCCTTCATAATCGGACTTTTCACATGCAAAAATAATATTAATAGTGAATATTTAAAATCAAGATTTGCGTATTATATATCTGAAATAAAAATTTACAAAATATTATCTGAAATCATTATTAACATGTTAATCAAAATATATGAATTATAATACAATACTTAACTTAACTTCATCTTTGCATTTTTGTATGCAAAGAACCAAAATTCGTTCAACAAAAAGAAAATTCTTTTTATTATGAAGCAGATGGACTTGTTATATATTTATATATTTTGATATATATAACATAATATAAAAATATATTATAATATATATTATATTATATATACATAAAAATATATCAATTTTATACATTTATATATATACATATATATGTATATTCATCTCGCGTTAGTCATTGATGACGACGACAAACGAAGAAACAAGTGAGATCCTATCTTTTTCTTTTCTGTCTTTTCCTTTTCTTCTTCTTTTACTATTCGGCTCCTCTCAGTCCCCTCTCTAATCCCGAATGCAATTAGAATCACTGTACACGCTATAAGATTTAGGAATGTTAATATTACAAGAAACCACAATAATTTATTATAATACAGCCTGCTGTACACCAGATGACTCGAGGCAGTACAAGACAGAGAAAAACGTCCTCACGGGGAGCTTATCTTCTATTAATTCAACTCCCAGAAACATGGCTCAACGAAGCGAACAATGATCATTATATTTATCATTTACGTGAGTTTCAAGACGGTAAGATTTGAATTTTTCTTTTACTACTTTTATATTTCCTTCAATGTGAGTTAAAAACGAATGTGAGAGGGAGAATGGCAAAGGGCAGGGACCACTTTATGATTAGGCTAAAAAAAAGAGAGAGAGAAAAGTCGAATAAAGAAAATATAAAACGTCATCCTTTTCGCGGTATTAAGGCGACAGGAAAAAAAAAAGAGTATAAAGAAATAAGAACGACTCTGCTGGTATCGTCGAAATCAGATTAAGACTTAATAAACGAATATCTTCCATTAACATTGGATTAAAACAAATATCGAGACTTCGCATTATGATCTTCGCGTTGCAATAGATCAATTTTCGTGGCTGGAGTGACGGGCTGCCGGCAGCCTCGAAAATAGCGCAAATATAAAAACGAATTTAAATTTCGTGAGTACAATGATCGTAGTTTTGTTTTGATAAATAAGGACTCGGCGATACCGCTGCTCCATGACGCTGGGATACCATGCTACTAATTTTGATTTAGTATTAGGCCCTTGCATATGAAATGTCGGTTTTACATCATCAACAATTATTCCCAGATAATTTCTAATAAAACATAAATATATATAATAAATGAAAAAACTCTGTAATGCTTTTTTTTATGTTTTCCAGAATAAGCTATGTTGATATTTCGATTAAATGTAAAAAAATTTAAAGATAAAAAGTACAATATGTTAAATGTGTACTTTAAGATTAAATTAAAAAATTATATGTTAAATAGAGAATAAAGGAGATAAATCTTATTTTACATTCTGGAAGTGAAAAATTTTTGCATACTAATACTTTTGTCACTGTTACGCTGATTCTTTCTAAATGGAATTTATGTCATAAACTCTTTCTATAATTACTCTTATAATTAATTTTTCTTCTTATTTTACCAAGTATATATTCGGGCCTATAGCCTGTAGAAATCGATTAACGCGCATAGTATACTCAGCGATATTGATTAATCAAATCCCAATCCCATGTCGCGTAGAGCGAGAATGCAGTCGAGAAAGTATCGTACATTAATTTTCTCAAAGACAAATGATATTGTACAATACAACCCCTCTATAAGATGGTCCTCCACAATTTTGGTATTCCTTCACACGTCATAATATTATGTTACTTTCATGGACAATTCACGATGCGCGCGCATTTAATCGCGTGTATTTAATCTCGCAAGTATACATATATAATTTCAAATTCATATACGCAATTTGCATTCATGCAAATACGCAGCAATTAGATATTCTCGCGTTGTGTGATACGGACAACTATTCTTTCTTAGGAATTTTTCGTTCTTTTAATTCAAAAGTTACAAAAGAGGGGTTCTATTGTAGTAATAATATACTTCTCATTTGTCTATTATATAATAACGATGATAATAATAGAGAGTAATTAATGGTAATATTACGTAATATTATTAACGTCATGTCCAACTTTAAAATAAGAAGCTAATTATTATACTAAACATTTCTTAATTTTTTTCTTGTAAATTTACTATAATCTGAAAAAGAACAACTGTTTCACACAAGAACTGTAGTATACTTTTATAAAAAAATCATATTACTTCAATATATATTTAACTATTAAAAGACATTCGAAAAAGCGACATCTCATATGCAACGGTCTAATAGAAGCTGCGAGCTACATGCACACACATTCTCTCTCTCTCTCTTTCCCTCTTGCATACAATTCTTTCGATCCAATTCATAACATCGAGCTTATTGGCTACGTAATTAAGGCTCAATCACGTGGTGGTTCGTAGCTTGTAATACCGCCGCGTAGTGTTGGAAAAAAGTACATCGCACACACTAAAAAAACATAGAGAGTCGCCGGAGAATTCAAGTCTGTGTTAAGATACACGTATATACTTAATTCTAAATGTACTTACAACTATTACAAGAGACATGATTGTGTGTACCTCTCGATCAAATCAATTATATATTCGCGCAAAAATATGCATAAAGCGGCCCCATGCCCCAGCACACGCATTCAATATGATTCTTCCGTTAAAAATTATATGAAAAAAAAGAGAAGGAAGCTCTCTCTGTACAAGGATATACAACAATCTGTTTATGTTTATTTTATTTCGCAACGATTGTTTTTTTTATGTCACGCTGGCGACGAATGAACTGAACTGAACTGAACTTAAAATCCCCAAAAGTATAGTATTAATTTCGTAACGGCACGACGTATGACTCGCCTCTTTCAAGAACAAGGATCCGAGAGAGCGATTTTGTTGTACCGTCCGCGCAAATCGCGTGAAGAAGACGAAAGGATGATATTTTCGTATGTCGAAGAATCCGAAAATCTGCGAGATAACAATCATCTCCGATCCTCGGCTGTGGGAGTCCCGTCATTATCGCGGCGTTTCGTCATTAGTAAACTAAAGCTAAATAGCTTGTAACATAGCGTCGATAGAGCAAAAAGTCAACAATGATTGAGCCCCTGCGCCTTCCATCAAATAGAGAAAGTTTGGGCATCCACTGTCTTCTTATCTCTCTTTCGCTTTTGTTTTTTTTTTCTCAATTCTGTTATATATTTTTTTTTTGTTTCTTCCGCTATCCTACTAGCCACTTTACATCATCATTACTATCAATATGTTAAAGTACAAATGTTCCACTCACACTCTCGCGCTCTCGCTCACGCTCGCGCAGCACTCACACATATATCAGTTTTTCCTTTTAAAATAATTACCGTAATTAGCGCGGATTACTTTATCATTATCGTAAATAATCGGGAAAAGAGAATTAGGAGATGTTGATTGGTGGGGATTTAAAGAGCTTGGTTGATTGATTGATTGGTTGCTTGGTGGTTAGTTACTTTGTTCTCCTAATGATGCTGGTGTAAGTACGCTCACGCTAAGGTCAATGGTACGTACAGTAGGTGAGGTATGCTTTCAGGATGAAGGACACGGGGTGATAGATGAAGAAATTTCGACGTGCATCCGCTATTCGTCGTCTTCTTTCCATTCCTCTTCGCTGTCACTTTTTACAGTTTGGTTCGCCGGCGCGCCTCCCATCATCGGGGCACCGTCGTTTTGTATTTTCTTTTTGTACGCGGTCATTTCCTGTGAGAGAAAAGGTATTTTATCGTATTTCAAAAACATAGTCACAGAAAGTCTTCGGTTAATTTTATGAATCTTTTCTATGGAATGCGAATTGCAATGACAAACAAAGAGGAGCCAATTTGTTGATGTATAATGCAAGAAAGTTTTTGATCTTTCGCCTCTGTTACAAAGCCAATATGATTGCGATGCGTGGAAAAGCTTAAAAAAAAATTTTTATGAATCTTTTCTATGGAATGCGAATTGCAATGACAAACAAAGAGGAGCCAATTTGTTGATGTATAATGCAAGAAAGTTTTTGATCTTTCGCCTCTGTCACAAAGCCAATATGATTGCGATGCGTGGAAAAGCTTAAAAAAAAAAAAAGATTTCAGTAAATTTAAATATGTTACCCTTTCATATCGAGCCTTGTCCTTCTCTGCCATAGCCTCGTATTTAGATTTGGTTTCGGGATCTGCGTCTGACCATTTCTTGCCTAATTCCTTAGCTATATCGCCTACACCGTATTCGGGATTCAGCATTTTGACCTTGCCGCGTTCATCATTGCAAAACCAGAAGAAAGCGGACCTGATGAAATGAATTAATCGTGTCTGTGAGAATATTAAAAGAGATCATAGCGCAATAACATATGAAGTCAGCTTTTATATCAAAGCTAGAATATTTCCACTTAATTTTTTTATAAGAAAAAATCATTCTAATTTTTAAAAAAATTAAAATCTTGTTTTGGAAAAATTAAGTTTAATGTAGTTTCTTTTTATTTTAAAATAAAAACAGACTATTACAGTTATGCACTAAACTCTCAATATTTCATTATCTATTACATTGAAACAAATAGTGTCGATTATAAAAAATGCTCATGATTTGAAAAATTTTTAATAAAGAATTGAATATGGTATTGAATAATACTGAAATTAAAAGTTTCTTCGAAGATAATAAATAATATCTACTTTATATATATGTAACGAAGATTCTTTAAGATGCAAATTATAAGTTTTAGTTATAAGAATTAAAATCATGTAAAAACTAATTTCACAAAACAGAAGATTATATAAAGAAGAACTAATTTCACGAACTAAGATTATGTAAATTTCTCTGAACCGCAACTGAAAGCTATTTGAAAACTGAATATATTTATGTTCGAATTTTTAAACCAACTTTTCTCGCTACATATTTAAATATTAATTAGCATATTCTTTCTCGAGATCGACAAGATACATCATGTACAAACAACACGAGAGCTTACAGTGATCTTTTGGGAGCATTGTGATCCTTAATGTGTTTGCGTTTCTTGCCCCTGCCTTTATTTTCTCCCTTGGGCGGCGTGTAATTCTGCATCTCCGCGTCGTATCTCTTCTTATCTTTTTCTGCCATTTCGTGGAAACGTTTCTTCTCTATATCCGACATAGTCTACGATACATGATATTCCATGTAAATGTATGCAATGTTAAAATTTCTATGCAGTTGATTTCGAATTAAAAACAATAGTTAATAAAATTTTTAATTATTAAGAATTAAATATTCCTTTGACTGATATTTTAAAATCTTGACTATATATATGTACAATCAGACATATATGTATGCGTGCAATCAGACGCATTAAAAATTTTAAAAAGCGGATTATATATAAATAAAAATATAAAGTTTATTTTCATGCATCTTTAAACTATTAAAATTATTATATAAATAAAGATATAAAATTTTTTAATGTATCTCTAAACTATTAACTCTTAACTATTATTACTTTCTGTTTATAAATAGTTTTTTATATAATATATTTTTAACATTTTAATTTGCATAATGGTTTGTTTCTATTACAGTGAATAATTTAAACACTTAGATATTAACTCTTACCTTCCACCTCATTGCACATTTTTTGGAGAACTCCCGGAAAACGATCTTTTCCTCGGGATGCTTCTTTTTGTGCTCTTGACGACATGTCTGGACGAAGAACGCATACGCTGTCATCCGTCCTCTTGGCTTCGAATCTTTTCCTCTCGGCATATTGTCCCGCTGCAGGCTCTGAGCGTTATTTTGTTGAAGATTATTTTGCGGTAGCTGCTGTATTTGGTGCTGAAATCCAAGCAAATAATCTATCATGTAATACGCACAATACAATCACAGAAAATAATACAGCTGTAACATATAATAAACGAATAACATATTTGTTAACTTTAAACAACAAGTCATAATAACAGTAACAACTTCTACTTTTGTATTAAAAAAAGAGATTTCTGAAATATAAATCTCTTTCATTTTTGCATAAAAGAAATTTGAATTCTAAAATAGCAATCTTTTATTTTTGCAGAAATAAAAAAGAATTATAAATTCTAGAATAGAAATTTTCTATGTTTGCATTAAAAGAAGTTTGAATGCTAAAATAGAAGCATATCTATTCTTTTTTTTCATATTAAAAATAAATTTTCTCTTTTAATATTAACATACAAAAAAGCTTTATTTCAATGTATTTTGCAAGAATAAAATTTGCACAATTTCTCGCTTCCAATAATTCATTCCGTTATAATTTATTTGTTTAAAAAAAAAAAAAAAAAAAAAAAAAACAAGGATCTTAAAGAAAGAATTAGATTCTAAAATTTTCTATTTTTACGTTAAAAGAAAATTAAATTATATAAAATAGAGACACTCTCTATTTTTAGATTTTAGATTATAAGAAAAATTTGTGTGTATATATATACGTATACGAAGTAAAATGTATCCTTGTATTAAGAGAAATTTGCGTAGGAAAAAGAGGTGAGAAGAAAATTTCCTCGCACGTTACTGGCTAAAGGAGCGATCGTGAAAAATGGAAACTTGCAGAGACGGCAAAATACAAAAGATCAAGTTAAGACTTGGTACGAGCGAATTTAATAATTTATTCGCGAGATAACTGAGATGTGTCGTTACGCACTTTATACGTAATATGACTTGCGTGTTAAATTAATGAACGGCTGCGGCCCGCGATCTCACATTGACAATGAGACACACGTAACAATGCTCGCCGTACACAAACGCGCGTTTTTGATTTTGTCAAGTAACAATGGTCATTATATTGTACGCACGTGTGCACAATATTATATAGCATTGAATATGTTATATATTATTATAATGATTATTATATACTTATACACGTGTACAATATATCGACCCTTATTACTCCGGATTGCGGATAATAATAGTTAACACGTACCTGCAGAAATAATCGGAAATCTAGTTGACCTACGTGCGGATGTGAGATCTGCCGGCAAAATAACTACTATGTAGAATCGGCATTGTTATTGAGTCGCTCCATAAATAATGCAAGTTTATTTTTGTATATTTTTAAATAAAACAAAAATCTAACAAAGTAGATCTGTTTAAGTTACAGTAATTCTTTCTAGGATAAAACTCGCATTATTTATGAGACGGTTCAATAGATCGCATTACATAAAATATATCTGATATAATTAGTTAATATATGCCTGAATTAATTAATTAAAATTCAATACCCTCTGTTATATACATATAAGCATTCTTATAATATATATATATTTATGTATATATATATGTATGTATGTATGCATACACAGGAATATATCTAAAAACAAATATAGAAAAAGTTAAAAATACAATCGAGCGATCGCGTTACTTTTTTTCTCTCGCTTTCCCGTGATCGCATATTTTTCCATGCATGCAACATTTTATGCACTCGCTGCGATATGCGAAGGATTAAAAATTGATACCTCTCGAGCCGCAGGCGTTGCATTACGGTTTTTATGTTCGCAGAGTAGAAATAAAATTAATGTAGAGCATATAACGGAGGCTATATATTTACGTCGAATCATCTCTTATAAAAAAAAAAAAAAATTCTTTAGCTTGCGATTGCAGTTTCAGCAGGTTTATTCGGCAGGTGTTCTTACGCGCCCAAAAAAATGCTTTTGTCGCGAACAGTCTGCGCATAGATTTTATTAATTTATGAAAATAGTAATGGAAAATTGAAACATGATATCTTTCGATTGTTTTTTGAAAATTTAGCAACTTACAATTTGTATTATATCGCTGCTATAAAATGTCATACGCGGATAATAAAAATCTTGAATAATAAAAAATTAGATATTATTATTTACTATGTGATATAATAATGTAATAATAGAATATCATAATATAATATTCATTACATACATATATAATATTAATATAACATTTAGTCAAATATATTATTAATACTAATATTATATATTATGAAGGGATTAAAATAATGTAACGAAAAATTTAAAAATGCAACGGCACTGAGATATTGATTATTCACGCGCGTGTTCAGATACAAAGGACAAAGGATTAAATTTATATATTACGAAGAGAACATACTATTGGAAAATATTATTATAGTGAATTGTTCTCTTAAGTTTAAGCTCTAACTTGAAAGTGAGATTGTAGGAAAAAGATAAAAAGATAATATATTCTTCAGTATCATGTCCATTTATAAGTACAACTTAAGAATGTGTTTCTCCGATACGTAGTTCTCTCTTAAATAGACTCTACCCTGTTCAATTTCGAGAGTTACTCTCGAACGTAAGCTTCAGAACATATCTATCTACTCCTACTATCGGGGAGCATTGTCGTGTGTGTCTGTTAATTAAAGCGTAAATTGTGCTCGCGCTCTTGTTAAAGCTTCAGCATCAACTCGATATCACACACACCTTTGTGTGCTAAGATAAAAAAAAATTGTAGAAATAGTTTCAATAAAAATACACGATGTGAGAAATATCAGGCTAGTGAACGACGAAGAAGAACCGAAATACACTCCTCCGTTTGTCAGCCTAACATTTACACGAAGTCGAGGAGTCTATTTCTAAATTCTGCATATAATCTATTCCGAAATGTAAAAAGTATGTAAAAAGTATGTAAAAAATGGAAAAAATAGTATCTTCATATACTTTATTATTATACTAATGCTATATTATTTTTAATACTTATGTTCAGAGTTATTAAAAGACTTTTAAAAATCTTCAAAGAATTTTCGAATGAAATATCATGCGAAATCGCAAATTATGATCGCTTCTTTCGAAAATTATTATTTCGAAAGTGCGTAATTAAACGAATTATTTATCATAAACTTTCATGTGTAGCCTAGCATTTATCTCGAACAGGATTCCGTTTTCGTTACACCGTTACAAGCTCCGATTACATCGTCTGCGACTTCGTGATGAGAGAAAATTGTACGTGTAATTTTGATCTTTTCGATATCATTGCAAGAAGATGGTAAGATATCTGAGATTCCTATCAAATTCGCAAAAAAAAAACTCGATTTTGCTTTATATGTATATAAAAATTGGAAAGCGAAGATGATCGAAACATTGTTTCCTAGAAACGCGATTAATTGTAAAGAATTCTAATTCGTGGTATCACATCTATCAAAAAATTAATGTATTATAATATCATAAATTTGGCAAAAGAAATTGATTTCAGTTAAATTCCATTATTACCTTAAAATTAAAAAATTATATTTTTTTTTCTACTCCACGTAAATATGCTTTCCGATATCCTCCAAATTTAAATTTCAAATCAGCGGTCGATTAATATAAACGGTTCTAAAACAAACAAGAGATTGTACGTGTATGCAGAGAATATTTGTAATCAATAATACGAAAATTGTTTTGTTTGAAAATTTTTAAATCTGTTCGACCATAATTTCTCTCTTTCAATCTCCCTCCTTCTGCCTTTCGTCACAGTGCCTGCATATATGTATGCTTATCTCACTTTTAGTGTCAAAAAGTGTAACATAGCGTAGATAAAAAAAAAAAAAAAAAAAGAAAACCTTT